AAAAAGGCACAACAACAACAACAACAACAACAACAACAACAAATAATAATTTTAGACGTATTAAAATAAAAACAAGTGAAGTGATAAAAACGGACCGTTGTGAATTAATCAAACAATGAAACAATAGCTAGCTCCAAACAACAAGAAATAATAAGAGAAAATGCAAGCAAATAAGAAGACTGTTCACCGCACACTTAAGTCAATGTTCTTTCTATGATTGAAAAAGATGACAGGAGCAGGCTTTTAAAACAGGTGTGGAGAATAATAGGAGTGTAAGCCGAAGAAAAAGAAAGAAAGTCACATAATATACATTATAAGGAAATTGACTTGTATGATGTTGATCTAGATAGAACATCCTTAATGGTGTCATAAAGCAGTAGACCTTTTCTATTATGGAGTTAAGAAAATCAATGTTCCCAATTATCAGTTTTATTTTAATCACCTTAAGCTTCAGTACAAAGTGTGTTATTCATTCGGCTCTTTTTATTGTCTGATTTGTATGGTTATTTGTAATTAACCTTTTTTATTTTATTTTCAGAAGCCTTTGTCTGTTTACACAGTGAATCCCTTTTGATTATAATTATTCTTTAGATATAAGCTGATTATTTCCTTGTTGGTTGTTGGGATAATTGCCAACACCTTTAACAAAGCACCTTAATCAAAATCTAAATTATATTCCAAAAGAAGTATCAGAGATTTGAATGAGATGTAAGCTGTAATCCTTTTGTGGAACCATTTCATGGGACCCAGGGGAAAAACATTGGCAAAAAAAATGAACAACATTTGGATCTGAATGATCATTCGGAAGTGTGGTGGCTGACTTTTGTTTTGTTACACATAAGATTCTCCTGCCAACTCACAATGTGGTTTGGCCGATGTCAGGATCTCGGCAGCTTTTATTTCTCTAATTTCTTGGCAGAATTCCACAGGAAAAAGGCTCCATCAGAACGTTCCATCATTACATCATTCTCAGAGGGACTCTTCTTCGGACCAATGTCTCCCAAGGCTTGTCATAGTATCTTTTTCATGTGACATAAACAAACCTAATGTAAACAGTTTGAAATGTTATCATCCACAAAATTATTCAATTTTTTTTTTGGGGGGGGGAAATATACTCCCATCCCAAACTTCAAAACCAACAGGCAGCCCTTATCCTTAACTCAGTGATATGTTGATTTGTGTTTCTCTGCCTAGTATTCAGCTGTTGTTACACTACTCATGGTAAGGCAATCTTGTATTTTCTTCTTTCTCCTCTTCCCTTTCCCCTCCCCCAATCTTCTCCTTTCATTCTCCCTCTCCCTTTCCTTCTTTGTCTCCGTCTCCCTCTCTTTCTCCTTCTCCTTTCCTTCTCCTTCCCCCTCTCCTTCTCCTCCTTCTTTCCTTCTTTTTCTCCTTCTCCTTTTCTTTCCCCCTCTCCCTCTCCTTTTCCTTCTCCTTCACCTTTCCTTCTCCTTCCCCCTCTCCTTCTCCTCCTTCTTTCCTTCTTTTTCTCCTTCTCCTTTTCTTTCCCCCTCTCCCTCTCNAGATAGATAGATAGATAGATAGATAGATAGATAGATAGATAGATAGATAGATAGATAGATAGATAGATAGACTGACTCACTATATTGCCAAAAGTATTCGCTCACAACTGCTTCTGATTATGTGAATGGGTGAGCGAATACTTTTGGCAATATAGTGTAGATGGATGATGGATTAAAACTAATTTCTTCTCAACTGCCTTATTACAAAGTCTCCATGTGCTTAATCGCTTCAGACCAATGTTTCTAAACCTTGATAATTTTCTGAGGTGCGGACTCCAGTTGAAGTCCACACCTCTGAAAGTTGCCATGGTTGAGGGGGAAAAAAACAACACCGACTTAATCGCTCCTATTTGCTTTGTTGCTTGAATGCAACAAGGAAATGGAAAGAAATGAAATGACGTCATTTCTGGGGTGTTTATAATTCTGCTTATAATTGATGGATTCCAGCAGGGCTGGGCTACTCTCAAACACGATTAATTTTAATGTACTGAATGGTATTTCTGGATTTTAATAGGGACTTCCTTTAGAGATTCAATCCCTTGAATGCCATTTGCAAACCTTCCCTCCTGATTTATTGAGAAAGTCGGGGATTTCCGCCGGTGGTGCTTTATGACCGTATCACTTAGTGACAGAATCGCCAACATTACATCTAGAACTTACAACAGTCCATTGAGTGTTACACAGTTAACAAAGGCAGCGTAAAAGGTGACTTATGACCCTTACACACACACAGAAACACACTCTTATGACGGTTGAAGCACCCCCTGGGGCCATGTGATTTAGACGCAGATGCTTGAAAACTGACTCACGTTTATGACGGTTGCAGTGTGAGATCTCCTTACCAGCAAAGTCAAAAGGGGAAACCAGACTCGCCGAGCCAACTTTAACGGCGGCAAGAAAGGTTGCGAAACGGGCTAAAATTCACTTAGCGACTCTCGCCCCGCAACATAATATTTCCGTGTTGTAAGTCGAGGACCAACCTGTATAGACAACAAGGATAGGAGGTCTTAAAAAAAAACCCAGATTTTAGTTCGCTAAAGCAGCAGCATCACCTTGTGGTTCCCTTTCCAGCGGCAGCGCCAGAATACTCTCCGCAGAGAGGTACCAGGAACCATGCCTTGCTGGAGGCCGCTGGACCAAGCCACGTGGCGATCAACGCCATCTCGGCCAACATGGAATCCTGCAGCAGCCGCACGGCCGCCCTTAAGAAGCAGCCCAGCCACATGGAGGCTGCCCATTTTGGAGACTTGGGACGCTCCTGCCTGGATTACCAAGCTCAAGAAACCAAGTCCAGCCTCTCCAAGACCCTGAGTCAAGTCCTACGCGACTCTGTGGCGCTCCCGTACTTCACCCAGTACATGGAGCTCCACCGCATGGAACACTTGGTCCGATTCTGGCTGGAAGCCGAGACTTTCCGCTCCGCCATCTGGGCCCGCATCAGAGCACACAGCTTGAACACGGTGAAGCACAGTTCTCTGGCCGAGCCAGTGTCCCCTGGCCCGCGGCAGCAGCGAGACCCTCCAGGGTTCCCCCCCTTCGCCGAGTCGCTCAACGGAGGACTGGATGACCGGTGCCCCGCCGAACCCTCTTTGGCACATTTGAACCGGTCAGCTTTGACTCTTCGGAACCATTTGCTGCTTGGCCAAGGCAGTGACAAACCCCGCTTGGGGTTGACTCCGTCAGAAGGCGAGGAATGTCCTTTTCCGGGGGACCCTCAAGATGCTTCTGTGATCTCAGC